AAAATCTTTAAAAAAAAATTAAACAAAAATAAAATATTTCACAACCAGTAAGGCATATACACAAACCAATTGGGAAAATGGCCAGCCACATTGTAGCAGCAGGGTTCTGGAGTCCCCTGGCCATGCCAGGCATACCCCTTTAGTTTAACAAATTTCTTCAATCGAGGAGCACATAGTGTTTATTGTTAAGAGGTTCATAATGATCTTTGGGACACCGTAGAGACTGACAGGTTTTGTAGTTGGCAGAATTTCTAGTGTGGGCATAGGAGGCCTTTGTCTAAATTCCTTTTTGCTAGAAATTTAGCTCCAAATGGAATAGAGCTAAATGTAAATAATCAGATCATTATAAAGCAAAATATGTAATAGCGGATCAAACAAAATAGAAAGAAGGAAATTATAAAGAGCAGAAATCAGTGAAATAAAAACTACACAGAAAGAAAATCAGCAAAGTCAAGTGTTGGTTCTTTGAAAAGATTGATAAAACTAATAAACCCCTTCCATAGTTATGAAGAAGAAAACAAAAGTTACTAAAAATCAGAATTGAATGGTTAGTATAAAAAAGATAAAAAGCAGTAAGCATTAGCAAGGATGCAGAGAAAAGGGAACCCCAGTGTACTGTTGATGGTAATATAAATTGGTGCAACCAATTTGGAAAACAATATGGAGGTTTGTCAAAAAAAAGGAACTAAAATACCAGCAGATGGTAGCTACACTTGTAGTGAACACAGGTATAAACTTGTTGAATCACTATGCTATACAGTAAAAATAATGTAACATTGTATGTCAACTATACTTCAATTTAAAAAAATTTTTTTAAAAAATACCATATGATCCAGTAATTCCACTACTGGATATTTAGCCAAAGGAAACAAAAACACTAATTAAAAAAGATAGATGCACCCCTATGTTTATTGCAGCATTATTTACCATAGCTGTGATATAGAAGCAGCCCAAGTGTCCATCAATAGATGAATGGAGGGGCGCCTGGGTGGCTCAGTTAGTTAAGTGTCCAACTCTTGACTTCAGCTCAGGTCATGATCTCAGGGTCGTGAGTTCGAGCCCTATGTCAGGCTGTGCACTGGGTGTGGAGCCTGCTTAAGACTCTTCTTCTCCCTCTGCCTCTTGCCACCCCCCCTTGTTCTCGCCCCCCACCTCTCAAAAAAAATAATAGATAATAATAAAAGCTTAAAAAAAAAAGACGAATGGAGGTGCTCTTCGGTGACTCAGTCAGTTGATCCTCCGACTCTTGGTTTCAGCTCAGATCATGATCTCATTGATCATAGGATCGAGCCCTGCTTCGGCTCCACACTCACCGGGGAGTCTGCTTGAGGATTCTCTCCCTCTGCCCCTCCCCCCACTCACTCTCTCATTCTCTCTCTCTCTCTCTCTAGAATGAATAAATAAATCTTTTTAAAGAAAGATGAATGGATAAAGAGGGTGTGGTATGTATACGTAATGGAATATTAGCCATAAAAAAGAATGAGATCTTGCCATTTGCAACAACATGGATGGACCTAGAGGGTATTATTATAAGTGAAATAAATTAGACGGGCCCAGACAAATACTGTATGATTCCACTTATATGTAAAAACAAAACAAATGAACAGCCAAACAAAAACTAAGCAGAGTCTTAAATAGAACAAACTGTTAGTTGCCGGACAGGAGGTAGGCAGGGGTATGGGTGAAATAAGTAAAGGGGATTAAGAGGTACAAATTTTCAGTTACAAAATAAGTCATGGAGATGAAAAGTACAGCATAGGGAATATAGTCAATAATACTGTAATGATATTGTATGATGACTACACTTAGCATGGTGAGTATTGAATAATGTATAGAATCGATATGTTGTATATCTGAAACGAATATGTTAATTGTACTTCAATTTAAAAAAAAATCAGAATTGAGAAAAAGGAACATTACTGCCTATTCCATAGATGTTTTTTTAAAAAAATGAAACTATTGTGGGGCGCCTGGGTGGCTCAGT